TGTTATCGTCAAATTGTTTCACCGGCATTTCGCCGTCATCAAGATTGGTCCATAATAAAAAAATTTAAGCCAAATGTCAATTTTTTCTAGTTGAGGCATTCCAAATTCTTATGATGTTTTTAGGTACTTTACCAAGTTTACTTAAAATTATTTTGACAAAGAGCTTGCCCTCCAGTTGTTTTCTTGTGGCTACAGCAACATTTACTAAGTTCAAAGAGTTATTTAATCAATGGTGTCTTTCACTTTTAGATGACTTTTATATAGGCCTGGTAGTATATTATCTTTTACAATTCATCCTTATCATTAAGCTGAGTGTCTTCAATATAGTCCAATAAGAATTATCTTGTTAATTCATGGCATTAAGATCTGGAAAAACAAAACAAATAGAGAAATCAATAAATATCAATGCATCAGTCCCTGGGGGTGACTTTGCCCCATGCTGTGTAAGAAAAGCAGTAACGATTTATTAAAATTTAACTTAACTAACAAAATAAATGAATCTTTTTATCAGTGAAATTTATACAAATTAAATGCATGGGGAAATAAATTATAATACCTTAAAATGAAAGTTTAAACTCACCTAAATCAGCAAAATATCAATGTCCATAGTCTAAGAGCTCAAACAGTCAAATCTCATGGTTTGGCATGGTAAGGACAGTCTAACTACATAAAGCAACTTGTCTTTCATAATAGGAATGTGAAAATTAGGGGAAAGACTCTAGAAAAGAAAATCATGAAAAACAACTTTCTCAATATAAGTATTTAATAGGCAAAGTCACCCAATTTCACGGTACCTGATAACTTAAAAGTCAATGGCTCCTTGCTCCCTGACTGCTGAATTACCGGTACTTAGCCTTTGGTTTGATTTTTTTATATTCTGAATTCAAAGCTTCAGGTATATTTTTATTTTAATTGAACAAAATTGATATCATTGTGTTGGTTTGTCTTATATATTTTTGGAGTATTCCTGTGTTGTGACAGCAAAGTTCTCCATAAAATAAAATTGATCTGAATATTGAAGAAATCAGTAATATTTTATATAATTAATTTTTAAATTTTTTTTTATTATACAATAATCTGTTAACATTGCAGACATCAAATGAATGTCTTTGACAAAGGTATTCTACTGTCATTAATGATGTAAAAATGTTTAACTTGATTATTGTCCATTCCATCGTAGCTACTAGTACTGTAGTTATGTTATTTCATGTGACAATGTGTAGTTTATGATCAATATGTAAAATGTAACCAAAGGTAAATTTATTTACCTGTTTATGTATATTTTAAAAGAATGGTTTTCACCTTGCACACAATTTAAATTATGTCACTCTATGAGCATGATCTTAAAAATAAGCTATTTTTTTTTTCCTTTCTGTTTCATCATTTAATCTTAAAATTGAATAATTTGCTAATGTATAGAGCTAAGGTCTTTCTTTATAAGCACTTTATGGGAGCTGTGAAGTTAGACATGTTTATCATCCATAAAACAGCATTTTTAACTTTAAACAAAACTATAACTTGGTTCCTCCTGAACTATAAAAATTTATGTTCCATTTTGGAAAGAATAATTTCTGATGTAACAAGATGGCCCATAGATGATTCTTACTCAATAAGTATGGTAGTTAAGCTTCCGTAAATATTTTTAATTTTAAGATTCATCTTCTTAACCCATATCACTTTTAATGTATTGATACACCCATGGATGATCATTTAATTCTTATCAAATATGTCACCATAATTGAAGTTATTTAATGTTTGGTTTTTACTACTGTTGATGCAAATAAAGTTAGTGAAAAAAAAAAATGTGAATTTTCTATTTCATTCATAAAGTTAGCATGTCTTAATTGATTACAAATCTTCTTAGCTGGTGGAAGAAAGAAATGATCCACAATTATTTCATTTCTGATTAAACTATACAGTTATTTTAAGGGAGGCATATAATCAATGATGAAAAGTTAATAATATATTATCTGAAGTCACAGAGCAAGGCATTTCATGAGTGCACTGAAGTGGAAAGAAAGAACATTACCTGTATATTTTAAATGTCTACTTAGCTTAATAAAGTACACATCCCATTTTAAATTTTCAGCTATGCATCTTGTTTTAAAATTTATCTTAAGGCCATTTTCACTAGGTTAGATACCTATGAATCGGAACTGATTTAGCCCATAAAACAAAATTCTCAAATGATGCAGATTTGTTGGAATCATGAAAAAATAATTTTTTCAATTTTATTTTAAGTCAAGATGTTAAAAAAGACCATCGAACAATGATTTCAAAATTTAAATAAAAAACAAGTATCCAATAACAACATAAGGTAGACTTAACTTAGCTGATATAAATTCAGATCATGTCTTTTTTTAAATGGGTCGGTGGATACCCCTTAATGGCAAGTAATGAGTGATTTGACAAGATATTTCTTGAAAGAACTAGGCTGATTTCAGTTTCCGAAGATTCAACAAAACTTTATCCTAGCAAGATTAAGATACCAGTAATTAGTGCAGTGAACATGTAAATTCTAAACAAGTGAAATCTCTATAACTGCAATATTTCAAAATTAAAATGGTGGAAAAAGAGGCATTATCTACTCCCCTAGCACTAATACTATTAACAAAAAATATAGCAGATAGTAATGACATGATTTAATTTTCATTCATAGACTAAACATTTGTCTTCTCGGGAATCTGGTGTGAAATATTGAGATTTAACACACACCAACAGCCCCCCCCCCTTTTTTTTTATTTTTAAAAATTGTATTTTATTAGAAAAAACCATCACAAAATGTTCTTGTGACAGTAATAAACCATTACTTAGAAACCATTACCATAGAAAATGTGGTAATTGCAGTTTTGAACAAAACAATAATATTACAGGCATACAGTCATCTCATTTTTCAAAGTCAAGTATTTAGTTTAGCATATCATCTAATGGTTTACTTTTGCAGTAATCATTTTGTTTCATTCATTATTCATGCATTATTTAGAAATTCAATCAGATGTTGTGACTGTCCACCTGTCTTGTTATTTAGGTAATGGTATATCAGGTCCTGTATCATCAAATAAAGATTCTTCAGTATTTCTATTGTTTAATTTAAATATAATGTAAAAGAACCCCACAAGATGGGGATATGAAAAGTGTATATATAAAACATTTAGAGATCAAAGGACATTGTTATTTTTAGAGAATAGTGCTGAAATTCTTAACCAGGAATACCTTACTCCTTTAGGTGTGTAACGGTTAGACAGTGTCAGTGGTGCAGGAAAACCCAGAAAATAAGTTTCATTTGCATTACCATTACCGGGGTACCACTTTTTATTGTGGGAGTGTGGGAAATATGTTTTGTGACTGAGTTGAGGGTGGAGGAAATGTTTTAGAATCAAGAGTAGATGCAGGATTGCAAAAAGAGTTAAATTCTCAGGTTTAAATTTCAAGTTGCAAGCTAATGAAATAAACAGGCTAAGAGAATTAGATTTATTTTAAATGTGGGGAACTTAACTGTCTTTATTTTTGAAAATCACATTCCATTGCTTCTTCATGCACCAGTCTGCAACTGCAATTGACTTAATTATTAAACCAGGTTAAGAAGGGCGGGACGTTGAATTAATGTTATTTAAGAAATAAGGTCTACAGGAAAAAAAGATGATAACATGTCAGTTAACATGAACAACTAAGAATCCAAAAATGATTTTAGGTCCAGATTGACACATCTAGAGATTTTATTACTATTTTATTATTATTCTGATTGTTTTAGGGTTCCAGGTACTCATTAATCCTTCAGATAATTTGTCGGCAATCAAAATAGGATTAAAGTTTTATCAATGACTTTTATCGATTATGTGTATGAATTAACAACATAACACAAATATTTAATTTTAAAGCTTTTTTTTTAAATACCGGTACCTGTAACATAAACATGATATGTGCAGAATGAAAACTAATCACTTTCAGGAATTATGTTCATCATGAAATTTAATTAATAATTTTCAGGGGTTTCGTCATAATTACAAGTTTTAAGGAAACCAAACTTGAAGAAGTATAAAAACTTAATATCAAAATTCTGATCGAGTTCATTTCACAGGTACATATACTTTAAGGTACAAGAAATACTTTTATTAAGTGTACTAGAAGATGTGGAAAATATATCCACTTTTAGCAATTTCATTCCTTCTTTTTGTCAGTAGTAGAACACCTAAACTTTAACAACCAAATAAATATTAATAAATGGGAATACAAATTGTAAAGTTTAATTTCAATATCTGCTTGTTAATTATAACTTATACGGCAATGAGATATCATTAATTCAAGTACAGTTTGAATTGAAATCTGCACCTATGTTTAGCACTTTGAAAATTAATTACCTACTAAAACATTCATTCCAATCGCCTCCAAGTAAGGCGTGCACCTTGTACTGAGACTGAGAATAATTTCTCAAGTGCTAGTAAATATCCATTATTATAATTCCATTTGTTGACGTTGTCCGCCCCATTAAAGAAAGGTAACACGTTTTAACCCCTTTTAAGTCTATTTTACAGATTAACTCCCTCAACTAAAGCTTTTATTCTCAAAACCATTCATCCTTTATATATGTTACAATGTACCGTACTATACATACTATTATTAGTAATACCCAGGGTGGGTTGTTGTTGTTTTTTTTGGGGGGGGGGGTGGATTCCAGAAACTCCATACATCCAACATCGCTAAGTAGAGCAACCACAAATGGGCATACGACACAACACGGTGCGAAGTGACCGTTTTCTTTTACTTTTATGTGCTTTTGGTGTTTGCCTGGCAAGATTTTTTTAGTATAGATTATGCACCTCATCTTGTTTTTCTTTCTTTTTTTTTTTTTTTTTTTTTTATTCCCAACGCCGATGCGTTAACCCACCTATTTTTACTATTAATTACCATAATTACTTTCATTGATAAGCCAAGATTTATTTTTTTTTTTTTTTTTTTTTCTCCTTCTTTTTTTTTTTTTTTTTTTTTTTTTTTTTTTTTTTATCATGCCCAACGCCGATGCGTTAACCCACCTATTATTACTATTAATTACCATAATTACTGTCATTGATAAGCCAAGATTTATTAGAAGGTATGGTTGGGTAGGTAATATATTTTACATTAGGTAATACATTTTACATTCAGTGGACCAGTGGAGATTTATTTTTATTTAATTTATGCGACAAAATACTTTGGTATTTTTCAATAGTCTGGGTGGAGTTAAGTACCCGGTACGGAGGGGGGGGGGGTAATGAAATTGAGTCAGCAGTGGTTATGTTGTGGCACCGTTACTCTACTTTTTTTCCTGGTTTACTTACTTTACGGTTAAGAAATGTTCATTTATATTTTAACCTAGTTCGGCAAACTGTTGTGACACAAATTTTCAAAGCTGTGAGATTTCATTGCAAAAGTGTCAAAAGAATAAAAACTTAACTTATGGGCATTTTCGCTAAACTAGAAACTAGATGGACGTAATATAATATAATGAATACATTTTAATCAATATAATCTAATAATCTAATATGCATAACAATTCCCTCACAGAAACAGTTCAATTTTTTTATATTAAACTTGAATGGTGTCTTGCCTAACCTTTATAATTATTTTTTTAGAGCAGTCACGTCTTAAGCTGAAAAAGGTTGCAAACCCTCTAACTTAGCAGCTACACTTTAATGGTAGAACTAATAGAAGACAGTATTGTCATTTTAAAGTTGTCAATAACTAGAGATCAGATTGAAAATCTTCAAAATAAAATACCTAATATCTTATTTGGTATTTTGTTTGTTTACATGTTTAAAAACATAATACTTATATTTAAACCAGACATGTCTTTATATATATATATAATTGGATTCATATTGGGGTCAGATGAAAAATACATTATACACATTCATCAGAAACCTAATTCTCAACAACAACCAAAAAAAAAAATCCTAACAATGTTTTCCTATTACCGCGTATTTAGCACACATTACTCATTCAATGAGTCATTGTGTTGAAGGAATCGACGTAATGTGGATTGAAGGAATCAACACAAAACAGATTTGAAGGAATCATAATCACAGAGCGGATTGAAGGAATCAACACATAGCAGATTGAAAGAGCAGACAAGGAGAATAAAGAAAGAGAACTAAGAACAGTTGAACATCAAAGAGTGGTAATATATAGTTCTAGTATATAATATAAGAGAATTACTGTGCAATGTTTTCTGAAGTTCAAGCAGTTCAAAGAATGACCCATTTATAGCAATCTCACATTTTTTTGGTAGGTATAATTAATTATGTTTTATTATAATATGTATGCTTTCAATAATTGATTGGATTATTGCAGGTTTATACACAGAAGAAAGCCATTTTGGATATTAGGATGTCTGAATAAGAAATTTAGGTTATATAAGCTTATGTAATGGACATTTTCATTTAAATAATTGAAAGAATAAAATTACCGGTAATCTTTAATTAACCTGACAGGAATTAAACATTTCTCCCTTTCAAAAAAGATATTAAAACTTGTTACAAAGACATTGCAAATTAATGGTGGTTTGTATGAAATCCAGTTCAATGTGTACAATGGAAAACTTTACATTTCTATTATTTTTGCAGAAAGATTATCCTACAAGTGTGTAGCAGCTCAACTTATCTGTTTTATTTTTAATGATTTGATTTCTGAAAGTACCAAAACATAATTTTTCAGTTAGAGTCAATTACTAGGATATATATTATTTAACATATCTAGGAATCCTCTGGACATTCCTGCTGGCATTGACCCCATTCTGTTAGCCAGGTCACTTAGACTCGTCTCAGATGTTCTAACAGACATAGCTTCTAAAGGGTTTATCGGTGTTCTGACAGAAATGTCAGATGACATTCTGACAGCTGAGATATCTGATGACCTTGTAGAAAGGTTATTGGCAGATCTTGTGGAAAGATCATCTGGAAGACGATTAGAAGCATCAGCTGAGATTCTGCTGGTTAAATCTGTTGGTACACGCCCTGAGAAGTCATTTGAAAGTCTGCCAGACATATCTACAGACATCCTCCGTGTCAAGTCACCAGCAGTTATTCTGCCAGATAAGTCAGTTTGGAGCCTATCTGAAATCAGATCTCCAGATGTAGAAGTTGGCAGTCGACCAGAGATCATGTCGTTGCTTGAAATGTCCCCAGTAATCTCACTGTAATTCCTGTTGGTCACATCAGGAGTTCCTCTCTGAGCAAGTCGCATTGGAAGCTCATCACTTTGAGGCAAACCTCTCGCAAGACTTTCACTGGATCTTCTGCCACGTCTTCCAGTGTGGGCTTTCATTGGTAAATCTAATGGCAGACCTCCAACTCCACGCCGGGCCATCTCCATAGACATCCTTCGGGGTGAAGCCTCCACCGAAATGGATGCTGGTGTCGTTTTAGGGGAATCTGGATCCTGGGTTTTCTTCACAAAGTAAAACTTGGCGTAACCTATCTTCTGTTGGATGGTCCTACGAATGTCTGTGGCAAGTTCCCGCGAATGGTGCTGGCAGAATCCTGAAAGGAGAAAGAAAGGAGTCCACCTTCAGTACTTGAGATAGCAAGCAGCTTGTCAAGCGATGAAGGGAGTCTGAATGGCAGATAATGTTCTTTATGATATTTAGTTGATTGATGAATGGTTTGATTCAGCGGGGAAGCAAAAAAAGTAGCAAAATTGAGAATGAGCAAAAGTCAGCATTGGTTAAAGTTAGGTGCCTTCCTCTTTTATATAATTGTTAACATGCGCATTTAGTTTTATGATAGAACTTAGCAAACCACATTAACAATTAAAGCAAAAAAGATACTAATAATTAGAACATACACATTTTCCAGATTGACTAACAGCACAGATAATTTGATTTAATTTAAATCTAATCATCTATGACAGGCTTACTTACAAAATGTAGTTACAGATTTCTTACACACAATTCTCAAAATAAAATTCAACAATAGATAAACTGAAACATGAAATAAAAATGGACAAAGCGAATGGTATTGTACTGTTTTCTTTTCTCAAATCACACATTGTATCTACAGGCATACCGGTAGAACACAAGACAAGATCTCCTATTCTAAGAGACTTAGAACATACATGTTAGCCAACCACATACATAATTTATTTAGTTGACAATAAAATTATATAAAATGTAGAAAACCTGATAAGTTATTCTCACATTTTTTTTATTAGACATATAACCAAGACCCGGTATATTTACATTACCAAAAATTTTGAAGCAAACTAGATTACTTTACATTGTTATTATCTAACCCAAAAAAATGAAAGGACATGAGTCATCTCAAACAATAAATAGGTCATGAATTTTATAAACCCCCTGGCCTACTTATTTCTAATTTAAAAATAACATTCTCCATTTTTATTAAATATGGTAATACATAATACCCGGTATCAAATTTAACATTTAAAAGAGATTAAAAATATTTTTAAAAAGCACAAATTTTTAATGCCCTTTAGATCCATTATAAAGTGTTGTTAAAACAAACGTAATAATTTATAAAAATGTTAACAGTACTGATATGGAAGATTGACTCTTTAAAATATGAAAGAGATTCATTTGGTTTTCAGCAATATACAACATTTTTTTATTGATGAAACTTTTGAAAATGCATTTCTTTCATCTAATTTCTAATGATTAGGCCTTTTAGAAGTGCTCTCCTTGCATGCGTTCCATTAGCTGCAGATATTTTCCAACCAATAGTACTGCGGATCAAAGATGTAGGAACTTTTCCCGCCAGAGAGCTGAAACCTGAAATGATTCGGGTACACAATTTTCAATTTCTCATTTGCATGTTGTGTTGTTTTTTTTAAAGAACTCACAGGCTTTTTAAACACTATTTACGTCTTGTTATTCATTTAAGAGGAAAACACATGTTTTTGTAGCTGAACTCAGTCATTTATTTAATAATGAACATCAAATACAAATTGGTTCCGCTCATTTATTATTATATGAAATTTAAAACATTTTATGTTCTCTTTTTAGAAAAAACAACAACAAAAAAACAGGAATGCAAACAAAAGAATTTGTTCATATAATACAACTACCAGTACATAGACCAAAAAGTACATACTATATATCAACTAAACAGGCATATAATTCTTTACAAAGATCCATTTTTGAAGAGAATTTAGTAGACAACTAAGTATCCAGTAATCCCTTAAATTGATGCACACATCATACACATATTTCATTTCATTCCATATTCATTAAAAAAAAATTATTACTTGCTTTGTAACACTATTAAATCAATTTCAATTTTAAAGAAAAGTGAGGATATAATTGATTAATTTGGGTCCAAAGTTATTTTTAACTCATTGAGATAGAGAATTCCCTTGAAGTTTGGACAACATCACTGTATTAATGTTAAAGTAAGTTACTTTTAGCACTCCTAAAATTTGACAACAGTGACACTAGCAAGTGATCCTAAGGACATCTTTTTAAAAAAAAAACTGCCAGGGCTAAAGTAAGCCACCCATTCTCATTATCATCTGCTGTTTCCTATAGGTACTGGCAAATGTGATCTTGCTCCATACGGCCTGACGAATATCTGCCTTTGTGTTGGGGCTCCACTTGCAACAGCATCCTGAGAATGGGAAAGTGGGAATGGGGCTAGTCAGCAACCAAATAACCCTCAACAGTCACCATCAACAGGTCACTCTCTCCTGTCACAATCAAAAGGTCACCCCCCCCCCTCTGTTGTCATTAAAAGGTCACCCTCAACTGTCATCATTAACGGGTCACTCTCCCGTGGCACCATCAACAGGTCGGCCCCCCTCTGTCATCATTAACAGGTCACGCTCTCCCCTGTCACCATCAACAGGTCAACCCCCACCAATAATTTTCAACACGTAACCAACTCCCAATCACCCTCAAAATGGCTTCATATCTGATATATTATTATAGTCAAATAGTAAAGGATTCCTGAAAGTCAGAAGTTATGGTATATTCCAATGATATAGGTATGCCGGAAATTTTGTAATGAAAAAGCATCTACAGAGGACCCAAGATTTAAGACTCATAGTTTATGTGTGCAAGAGCAGTTGTCTTGGAGTTTCCCATTAGCACTAACCCAACCTTCATCCCAGTACATATTTATGTATTAACATTATCAACAATTTGAAAACCCTTGGATTTGGATCAAAGACATTAACCTGTTCCACAATTAATGTCATGTAAAAAAAAAATTTTGGTATCATTTACCGGTACCATCTGTTAATTTTTGTGTGAAAATCTGAACGCCACAAAAAAAAATTTCTAGCTGCACTTCCAAATTTTAAAAATAATTAAATTTATGTAACATTTGAATACAGAAAAAATTGTATTAAAATATGTATGTTGACACTTCATGCCATAAACCAAAAATAAAACAACAAAGAAACAAAAACAATAAACAGTATCTTTATTAGACCTGAAACTAGAATAACTGTTTAAAGTACAATGTATTTTCCAAAAATTAGAAAAATATTCATTAAAAAAATTCCTTGTGTTGTAAATAACTTTAAAACGATAGTCCTGCTTGAAAAAAGAACACAACAATTAACAGAGAGAGAAAAAACATTTGCACTTTTTTTACAAGATTTTTCTGCATTTGTTATCATCTGAAAATTAATAAAGGACAAACATTTTTTTAGTTTCATTGCAAACAGATTCTTTAACATCTCATTACAGTTCTAAGTTGAACTTAAATCAAATGTGAGCCTGCACATATAACTCCTTGGCCTTTCATAAGAAAACCATTATCAAAACGTGTATCCTGATCGCCACATCTTCCGTAAATCTTTAATTTTCTGGCAGTGAGAAAGACTCCCGATCCTCTTCCACATAGCCTGACGCAAAACTGTTATTCTCTCTGATGAAAGCTCATTGCAGAAGGCTGAAAGGAACAATGCAATTAACACATTGATAGTGGCACCTGTAGACTTTAGATTTCTTCACCAGAAAATATAAGGCACAAAAAAAAAAAAAAAAAAAAAGAAAAAAAAAGAAACAAAAGCTTTGGAGTTGTTTTTCTCTCCATTATATTTAACTTTAACTATTTAGAATCAGACGAAGCCTGCAGAGTTGAAAATAAATGATGGCTGGGATGACATGAATATAATTCTGAAATGTAAAACTCAAGTTGGACGTTGTCATTAGTGATGCACACAAAAATTACAGACAATTGACATCACATTTTCCATTTTTCTGGATTAAAAAAAATTCAGAATCTGAGAAATGCATATGATTTTGATTCTTGACCAGAAGTTTATAAAGCAATTTGTTGGACATCAAACTGGTACCGTAGATAGCTAATTCAAATCCTTTTTTAAACATTATTGAGAACAGAGATGTCGGACCATTTAAAGTAGAGATCAGAAAATCTTATTGATTCCTCGGGTTATTATTTGAATAAAATTTTTGCCTTCATTAAAAAAAAATTATGTAAAAAAATACATATAAAAAAAAAGGCATTTTTGGTGACTATATTGTACAGTTTTTATAATTTTTTTTCCCATAAGCAGTATTTCAAGAAAAGTGATTAATTATTTTAAAAAAAAAAAATAATTAACCATTTTTAATCCTCCAGACTGTACAATTACATCACCAAAAAGGACTTGGTTGCTGCTTCTGCAATGTGAATTTAAGAACAAATATTTGAAACATATTTTCGACATACAGCGCGGTTATAATTTTAATTTGATTGGAGACACGTAAGAAAATCTTGTGCACCAGTGTATTTATATTTTCTTATTAAAATACACACTCCGGTGTCTTCAGAAATTAGACAACCAACATGTTAATGAAATGCAGTTGAAAACACAACTTTCATCATGGGTTTGGTTATCTCTTAGCTGATTTTTTTACTTCTAATATCAGAGGTATCCCCTAAATAATTTTAGATGAATAGAATAAAGTCAAATGGTTTGAAAACCCGGCCACAAATTATTGAGACAAATTATAAAGCTTGGATATAGGAAATGTACATTTTAAAAAGAGAGAGCATTGTTAGACTAAACTATTTTTACGTTAACCACTGTATTTTTTTGTCATTTATTGCAATACAATTATATTTCAGTAATTGCAGGTTTTAACCTGCAACATTGAATCTCAGAGCCTAAACAAGTTATAATTAAACAACCCCTAAAAACAATTTTTTTCTTAAAAATTCATAATAAAATGTAATATAGAGCAATAGAGGGGGGGGGGGGGGGGAGAGAAAGAAAATTTGACAAAACATGCATAAAAGTAATTAGTTCCCTTCATGTTCCCCTTAGAAAACAGGAAAAACTGATCTTTTGGGGGGTAGGGCTGAAAATTTGACAGAAGGTTTTGTCATCAGCAACGAATCTATATGCCAAATTTCAGGTCAATAGATTGCCAAATTTCAGGTCAATAGGTTGACGGGAAGTGGGTCATTTAGCTGGCCGAAGATTTTGCCAATCCGCCAGCCAGCCAGGAAAAAAAGTGAAGTTAATATAAAGAATTTTAAAAGGAAATTCAATATCTCTTGACAGTAGCACTAAGGGAGAAGGGTACTGAAGCTTTTTAATTGTTCAAGTGGGAGGGGGGCATGGTGCAAAAAAAGTTGGGAAACACTGCATTACTGGCAGTCATCACACTTGGAAAAACATTTAAAAATGCTATTAAGGAAATGCATACATTAAACAATACTGACTTTAACATCTGTCTCCAGAATGTGTAAAATTATTCAAAGCTACTTTAAATGAGGGGAAACAACTGAAATGCACAAAAGGAAAAAAAAAAAAAAAAATGCTAACCAAAATCACCACTGTAGTTGTATCAAATTAAACAATACTGACTTTAACATCTGTCTCCAGAATGTGTAAAATTATTCAAAGCTACTTTAAATGAGGGGAAAAAACTGAAATGCACAAAAGGAAAAAAAAAAAAAAAATGCTAACCAAAATCACCACTGTAGTTGTATCATTTGTTTTGATGATGATTGTTTAAAAAATTTTTTAATAATGAAGCATTCAAGTAGTTTTGAAACACACAGTACCGGTACAAAATTTAGAGCTCTTGTAACATTAAAGACAAAATGCTGCACAATATAAGGCATTCGAAATGTCAATAATATCCCTTTAATCTGAAAAGAAAACATCCTTCACTTTGGTAAAACAAGAAAATATGCACAGTGTGATATTAACTATTAAATTATACAGATAAAAAACACTGGTTTCATTAAGTTATATAAATAAACGGCAAAGCTCAATTTTCATTCAAGTAGGGGAAAAAACACCTGCTGAGTGAACTTAAAATATTTAATCAGAGAAATAATGTCAAAATGTTCTTTTAAAAAACAACTAAATGAGGCAATAAAATCAAGTGTTTAAATCTCCCATAAATTAATTAAGTAATTTGAAATTACAGACTGGACTTGAAACTCAGCTGAAGAACAAATGCATTTTAATTTTTAAAATAAATATAATTCACTTTTAAGTGACTTAGCACACAGCATATTGGACATATTTATATGGCCAATGGCATCCTTATAATATATATATAATAACATATTGATTAACTGATTTTAAACTTTTTTTAAAAGTATATAATTTTTTTTTTCCATTAAATCTCATTAATGCATTTGTGTCTACTGAAGAAGTCTTTTTACCCAACTTTTTTATTGCTATGTTCAGTTCTTAGTAAAGCTTTCACTTCAAATTTGAATTGTTGCTTTTTACCTCAGTGATAATTCTAATAACAAAACACAGGTATGTTTAAATGTAAATATTTTGAGCAGCAAAAATTTAATTGCAAAATTTAAAAAAAAAATGATTCATAGTGAGTTCCAAAAACAACATTTACCGGTACTTACCAAGAATGGCATGGATGATGCCTCGATCGAGAGATTTTTGATGAGGCTTCGGCGGCTCTGCAATACTGGCCCCTACAAGCTCACTCTGACGCCAGAAACAGGACATTAGATATCTTGCCATAGCTTTACCATCTGGCCTGTCCTGTCGGGTCTTGGACAAAACAACATTATAGTTCTCTTGGTGGATGTACACTCCAGATCCAGGCAGGAGCTCAAACATCTGGAAGATGGTAATTGTAGAATAAGAATACAATCAGGATGTTCAACTCAATGCAAGGGTTGTAATAATTCTAATTAATAATTTAACGATAAAATTTACTTCCCCATAATTTGTTTTTAAAGTGGCTGAGCAGTTATGATTAAGCACCCACACTGAGCAGTCACAGCTAACATAACAACAAAGCAGTTATGACCAAACACAAAATCTAAGCTGTTATTTTTTTGTTTATTTGGCTACTTCTACCTGTACTACCAGTATACATTTTCTGATATATTATTACATTAAATTTGGTGCCTTAATGACCCCCACTCTTTCACTTTATATTCATTTAGTGTACACATTTTGTTTCTCCTATTTTCTCCCTTTGTCTGTCTATCTCATAAATAGACGGCAGAGGATTTCAGCACCCCTAGAATGGAAACTGTGTTCAGCCCTAATTTATTTGTAATTTGACTAACTCCCTCAGTGAGCACAGAGGTCCATAACCCAGGCTTTGCTGCCTTTTACCAATTACTATTCGGATTACACACTAGCTGAACTCTTGGGGAAAATAAACACAGTTTCTGGGTCAGTGAGGTCTACTTAAAGACTTACCATCCACTTTTTAGCATCATCAGGATGGACATAACCACATAATGGTTTGACACCTTCGGGCATACGTGATGGTGGTCCTGCTGAGGCATCATCTGTGAATTGATAGAAAAACTTTTTTTTATTTTAATCCAATAAACAAATATATAATTTTTTTTTTATGTGTGGCTTTTCAAAAGAAATTTTGTATTCAATAAAGATTTTGTGAGGTTTTCTGTAAATATAAATTCTGAACAATACTTCTCAGTTCCACAACAAGCCAAACCATTCAAAGTTATAACTCTTCACAAACTTAGCCCCATACCCTCAGGCAATATGTTTTATGTTAAGAATTTGGTCATGTATATGTGTCTGTAAGAGTGTCTATGTTAAAATCCCTTTTCCCATTTTTAATAGTTTGACAAAAACAAGACCTGCCATCTTTAATTCCTTAAGTAGACAAATAAATTGGAAGTGGAAAAATGACATCTAAACCAAAGAATCATTATAAAAGTGCATGCTTCAATAAAAAAGAATGTTAAACTACATGATTAAAAAAATTCGAATAAAATGATTTGGATTGAGATTGCATGTTATGGATATAAATCTAAAGTCATAAAATCATAAGTTTTGATCATTTTATGAAACAGAGTGTGCCAATTTTTGCTAAAGTGCCAATTTTTGCTAAAGTGACATATTTTAAAAATACTCGCTTACTGATGTCGGAAATCAGAGGACAGCAACCAACTTTAACAGGAATATTAAAAAAACAACAACTGTATATCTATGACAAAATAACTAGTTTTAACTGTTTTTACTACGGCTTACAGAATTAGTTCTGGAATTATCATAAATATTGGTAATATGTGCAAGCCACAAGCCTTTTATTGTGTGCTAGGAGTTTAAATTTGTTTTTGTTTGGAGGATTTTTCCAGGTGTCTGTACTGGATGACATGTAAGAAATATCTAATTATGTCATTTGAAAATTGAATAACAATAACAGATTGGGTCATGAAAATCAAAGAATGTACCACAATAAAAGATTTGAACAAACACCAGGAATATAGGACTAAAGGTTTATTTCAACTACAACATAAAATCAAGTGTCTGGATTGCATGGAAGATCCCATTAAGAAATTAGTAGACTAGGTTCTAAATCTATCAATGATATATAAACATTTCTAAATAACACTATAGTTATGAAGGCAAAAATATGATCATTAATTGAACATCATTAATTGTTCAAATGACTGTGTAAAACAAAGTAAACAAAAAAACATTGACTAATATTTACAAACAATTTATCTTTGCACATTTATGGATTTAAAAATTTAATTTAAAAAATGATTAAATATCAGTTTATTTTAAAATTAAAAAAAAATAAAACTCCGCTCTTTCTAAAAAAAAAAGTTAAAAATTAACTTCCACTCAATCTTAAGTAGGATTTTTGTACCTACCTAGAACTTAGAAGCCTCACTACTGTACATACTTAATTTTTTTTTTTAATTATCTTCTTTTATTAGTCATTAGATTGGGGAAAAAACATTAACTCACTACAAAGTAGACAAAGTGAATTGGTCAATTTCACTTTTGATATGAGATTGTGCTAAATGAAATTGATGATAAAATTCTATCCCACAAACGTAGGCACAAAATAAATCACTGCTAACCATGGGTCACAACGCATCGAACCATTGAAGAGAATAAATGAACTCGGTGGTGGTTAAATGAGGTAGATCAAATCTTTAAGCAGATGTGAGGGTCACTGATATAGATACCGGCAGAGATAAAGAGAATGTGACTTAAGAAGAATTAATATTTTATCATAGACGATGAAGGAGGAACAGGACTAAAACTAGGCATTGAACGTAATTCACAGACAGCAGAACAAATTATTGTTTTACAGTGTTCATTCGGAAAAACAAACTTATATTCACTATTATATGTTGATTGAGCATGAAAACTCATGTTAAGAATCCTATAGGAATGAAATGAGTCGATTTTTAAAATAAATATTCCAATAGGAAAACCCCTCCAATTGGTTTCTTATGCAAGTGGAATCTTATGCAAATTCCTTGGTATTTTAAATTTTTTGGGGTTTTTTTTTGTTTGGGGATGGGGAGAGGGGGGTTTTCTGCAGAAGCAGGAAAGCCACAGACGTTGAATTTGTTTTACTGAATTTTACTTAATGTTCTAATATACTTCATTTCTTTAATCCACACTTCGCATTTCTTGTCATGCTTTTTGATTGCGTATGTCCTTAGAATATTGGTTTTCAACAGGGCTGCCCCCAACGATACTCCAATTGAATAGATAGTCCTCAAAATAGATGTCTTTTAGAGGCATTTATGAGAAAAAAATGAGAGAAAGATTTCAAAAGAAGTAGGTGTAAGATCTCAGTCAAGAAGATCAATATATAGTCTTTTGCTTCAGTCATTGACTTGAAGGCATATATGAGAAATAAGGAGAAGAAAGTTGCAAAAAACCTTGGCGCTAGAACATTGCCTCGCTTAATTCTGCTTGTAACTAGAAGGCGTCTGATGTTGCGTCTTTGAAGCACACTGTACTGTAGATGCTATTGTGGATTAAACATGACAGCAAACAGTGGTAATGCATTTTTTTTTTTTTTTGCAAGACGACTAACTCAAATGTCTTTATCAGGTCTATGAAAAAGTTTGAACCATATTAATTAAGTTCACATTTCTTTTTAGTTCTGATCTTATTTTAAATATATACATAATTGATAAGTAGTAAGAGGTGTTCCCAATGAGACATTGAATTTAGGGTGCCTCCGTTATCTGAACAGTTGTTTTTTTGTGTGAGCTGATGTGGCAAAATTTGAAATATTAAAATGTTGTGGCTCTCTTAATGCGGTGGTGAGTAAGGGAGTTAAACAAAGGCTCCAAGTGCTTCATGCAGACAATCACTCGCTGAGTTCAATAAAACAGTGTGTAACATGTTATAAAATGAGAGTAAATGTACAATGTACAAAGTAAGCAGAAAGAACATAATGAAACTACATGAAACACGTAACTTTGCTTCCATTAATGAAACAAATATTGACTCCTTTACACAATGGTTCTCAACCTGTGGGTCGCGACCCCTTTGGGGATCGAACGACCCTTTCCCAGGGGTCGCCTAGGACCATCGGAAAACATATATACTCTACAGTTATGAAGAAGCAACGAAAATAATTTTGTGGTAGGGGATCGCCACAATAAAGGGAACTGTATTAAAGGGAACTGTATTAAAGGGTCGCGGCAGTAGGAAGGCTGAAAACCACTGCCTTAACATGTCATTTTAATGAGTTTAGATATATTAAACGCACATTTATTTTCACATAAATTTTATTGCTGCAGTAATGACCCAACGCATGCAAAAGTCTTCTTCCTTTTTTTTTTTGTGTTGCATTTAAATAAATGAAAAATTGACCTGACAAAAAAAGTAATTTCAGAATGAAATATTTTATGTCAACATTTTGTAAAGAATATCAGTTCAGACCACTGACCAAGTGCCATCCATTTAAATGAGAAGCACTTCATTTATTTTACAGTAGTGGACTCTGTGTAATCTGGACCAATCAGGACCCAGTCTGTCAGAGATCATCATGACTCAACAAAAACAAGATAAGGCATAAATAAAGTTAGAGCTAATATTTTGTAGAATATAATAATTAAAGGACTGCATTCAAGCCTAGTAAATGAAATAGCATACCTCGTTTGCTATTTCATAATTTGTAGAAAGAGCCCTGTGAATGAATACAGGAGCATATGGTACAAACCAGGTCAAAATATGTTTGCATGTTTAAAGCTATATGCTGCTGGTGTTTGTTAGTATCTCTTGATGAGCCACAACTTGTCAAAATCATTGGAGAAATAGTAATCCAGTAGGAATAGTATGAATAGTAATAGCAGACAGACCATGGCATGATGTCACACAGACACTGCACCACAATAGTTGTTAGTTCTTCAATGTCATGGTAAAAATCATAAGTTTCATTCCTGACACGTTTGAAGTTTTTGCCATAATAAAGTTAGTCCATCTAATTCTGCTTCTCGGTAGTGAAACATAAATTTCATTTTTCATTTGAACTTTTTAAGCCAACATCCATGGTTTTGAACTTATGAAGATGTGCTTTTACAATCTGTCGTATCTGACATCTCAAAGAGTGAAAGCTTAAAACTGTCATAAGCAAACCATTTATGGAAACTACTATAAAAATTATTACCAACAATCATCTCCAATGAAGAGAGGTCTCACAGTAAAACAAAGTAAATGTGACATGATTGATTGATTGTGCTTTTGCAGATAGTCTCAGTGAAATGGCAGCAATAAACCACTGTTGACGTACAATGTTATAGGGATTACCATTAAAGGTAATGAATGTAGTTATAGGGTTCTATATTAAACAGCTGAACACATAACTTGTTCATATTTTCTTTGCTAACAAAAAATCAGTAAACAGCTCCCTACTTCCTCTGACCAGGAAAAAAAACAAACTGTTTATTCCAAAAATGATTTTGAAATATGCAACAGTGTGCTGCCAACAAGCAACAACTGGTTCAGCACTTGTCCTTTATAGAAAAAACATCAATTTATTAGTGGAGTGCTATATTGTTTTTCTTATTATGACGTTTCGAACAACCCGGTTCCTAGAACTAGAATAGTTCAAATTTAACAACGCACTGGCTCAAACCAGCTCCAGCACGACACCGGACATATGGGCTTATTTGTTTAAGCCTTTACCTAAAAAAAATCCTTAAAAATTAGAGTTAGATATTTACAATTTTGGCCACTAAATATACAAAATATTTTATTTTTGTAATTTTGGAATCAGTAAATCAAGGCTCTGCCAAAATTTCATAGATGAAAATGCTTGACAAGATGAAGTTGCTTATTAAATTTAAACGTTCAATGACATGGGGACGTTGGTTGAAATGGAAAATAACAAGATAAAACAGACCATGTTCATGCAAAGTAGAATAAAGGGGGGTAAAACAGTAACAACATTGTGTCTTGGTTTGATTCAAAGATATTTATAAAAGCTTATTGCAAATATCTTTGAATCATTAAGTCTACAAACCAACCATTATGCCTCTGGAAAAACTAAAAGAACAAATAGGTAAAAAAAATAACAAGTCCATCTAAATAACTAACGGTGCATTGAAATAGCATAAATGATAATTTCATTGTTAAAATTTGCTTGATTTACAAGAAATAAAAATGAATAATGTTTTTAACATTAACATATCTACAGTAAAATATTAATTTAAGTGTATCCAGGTTACTTGTGTTAACACTTTGAACCCACGATCCCGCTTTATCGGTCTATGCATTAAAAATCCACACACCGCCAGACCGATATATCGGTCTCCCATACCTTACCATAGATCGACAGTTCGTATAAAAATTGTGTTGTAAATACTGAGTTCATGGTTTTATCACTTGACTTGCGAAAGGTCACAGCAAAGGCCGCACCCATGGGTGCACTGTTTTTGTTTTGTTTTATTAATGTTTTTCGGTGTATAGAGGTGACGAAAATAAACAAAATTGTTTTCGAAAGGACCCAATTTAGAATAGGTTTATGATAATGTATATGATTCAAAGGATTATTATCGTGTTTTGAAAATGGATTGAAATAAAGCAAATAGTGACGATCCATTGGCTTCAAATTATTGTGCTATTGTCACTGATGTGGGCTTTGGGAATAAAATAAACAACACAAGGTCTACCCCTAGTCCTAGCCCTGACTGTTATGAAAAATCAGGGGCATATAAATGAACTTTTACTCGTATCCGGAAATTTGTTTGAGAGAAATTTCATCGCGGAAAATTGATCAATGGAAATTTGATAGAATTTTTTTTTTCAGTTCACACGCTAAATTTTTGTGTCAAATTTATTTTTAAACGCACTATACTATATAGTAACCCCTTTTACTATGCTATTTCACACCATTTCTAAGACAATATTCTCCTTGTGATACATTTTATAATACTTATGGACTATTAACAGACAAATTTATATTGAAATAAATACAATTTATTCAATTTATTAATCATTACATTTTGTTTGCTTGTAGTCCATTTGTGGACATTTCCCCCTGGAGCCCAGGGGCATGGGTATTTCAGGCACAGGAGCCAAGGGTTCAAAGAGTTAAAAATTAACTTTGTTGTTAACATGTGTTATATAATCTGCGTCATATCAATAAGTACCATATAATTGAGAATGTTTACACAATTATTTTTGTTGTTGTCAGGTGCAAAAATCTTGTTTTCGAACAGATTATTATTTTTTTTTAATTATGCAATTAAAAAGTTTCCTTTCCAACTGTCCCTCACAGAAAGGTGAGACTGAAATTATTATTTATAAATGTGTAGGCTGCAGTTAAAAGTTCATGAATCTTTATAACTGACCGAACAAAACTCTTTCCCCTCTTGCCATATGATACCAATCACCACTGGTTTGCAAAGCACACAACCCTCCCCCAGTGTGCTGATGTTTACTTTTTGCCTGCAAAGGAGGTACTGGAGTACCTATGATCATTATACAACTTAAATTTCAAGCTACACACAAAAAAATTCTCAAATTTTATTACGGGTCCTAAGGGGAATCAAGAAAAAGTTCATCCGTTTCCAGGAAATGACGCCTTACCCCAAAAAAATAATAATTCCAATCACCACAGTTTTTTCACAGCCGACACCAAACCCCACCCCCTACCTCGTCCCCTTGTAGTGTTAACGAATTTTTTTTCTCACAATTATAGGCATTTGTATAATTCTTTTTCGACATAAATGCAAAAAAGTAATTTAATTCATTTATTTTGTAAAAATGCAACAACAAATAATCACTTACACTTACAAAACCCATAGGAGGAAATAAGACTACCGGGTATCTTATTAAATCCCAAAGAAAAATGTGTATATGCATATTGAAGAAAAACATATTTAGGCTGTGTTAAAATTGTTAACAAAACCAATAGGAGCCTCTATTTTGCTTGTTTCTTTAGACTTTAGAAAGGAATTATGTTCTTGGTTTAATATATTTTAATATTATCGTTAGCATTATTATTGAATCTATATTTATTATAATTGTTTGGTGTTGGTACCAGCATCTTACTCCTTGGAGAGTGTCTCATTATTTAGAGTTAGCATAGCCTGAAAATAATCCTCAAAAGAGTTGAGAACGCATGCATTGGTGTAAGTCTGACCCAGCTTGGCCTGTGCAGAGATTTTTTTCATGAAGCTTTTCTCTCGGTATTCCCTTATTTCCTCTGGGAGGTACCACACCCCCTTTTCAAGCAAATCTTTTGTTGCTGGCACTTGCAGTAGGACTTTTACTGCGCGATTACGATGCTCCATGTAGAACCGCAATGAATCCACTGTGCAGTATGGACCCCCGGTGGCCTCAAAAATTGTCACTTCATTACAGTTCCCTAAACCACAGGTGTTCCAGGTCACAGAAACTTTACCGGCAGAGTTTCGTGAAAAGAAGAAATGCTCTGCCAGGACCTTACTCCAGTCAACTTTGCTTCTAAAATGCATCTGTAGCTCAAACCAGACCTTATAAAGAAGTGATTCAGGATTTGCACAAGAGAGTGTCCCACTTGTGTACATTAGCTTGATGTCTTGGACAGCTATGGTTTTATTGACTTTGATGCAGGTGGCCATGAGTCTAGAGAGAAGGGCATTGGACTGTTTGAAGCTATGGGATGTGGCAATACTTGTCTGCCTGCCACACTTGTTGTTTAGGTAACGACTGATGGCAGTTCGAAAAGCCAAAAGTGCTGTTGCAGAAAATGGTGCTCCGTCTTTTTTCTGTCCCGAGGTGTAGAATCCTAGCAGCATCTGGTCGAGTTGTTCATCAGTGAATTGCTCAAAGTTGATATTCATCCCATGGAGTGATAGCCATTCTGATAGGAAAGTGGGAAAAAATAATGCAAGTCACACAATTTTGGACATGAAAATTTTTTTACACCTGGGCAAAATAATTTTAAGTACTTTGATCTCTTTAAATATTTGGGAACAGTTGTATCATATTCTAATTTTACACAAAAAAATAATGACGATAATAGTGATGCTTTCTAAAATAAGCAATTAGTATAGTAAAAATCTGAGGTATGTTTACAAAATAAATATTGTCAATAGTTTATTATTTTGAAATGATAAAATATCCATTTTTAGTTAGCAAAGAAAGAGGTTGCCTCATTTCTATTAATTTTAACTTGCTAAATTTAACTGCATATGTAGCAATTGAAATCTACATAGAACTTACCTTGAGCTCTTGCAACGGCCCATTTGGTCTGCCGCATGGTGTGGAGAATTTCTTGGCCTTTGGCTTTCTGTGAGTTCTGCAGTGATAGCCGAGGTGACACCGACAGGTCAAATATCGAGCCAGCCGGAGATGGTGGGGACATGAGACGGGGGCGGGCATGGGAAGCCAGCAAGGCTGAAATGGGTGGAGGACCAGTCAGTGATATCTCCACTCTAGCTGAGGGATCCAACAAATACGAGTTGGAAATAGGAAGGCTCCTCCACAAAATAGTTATTAATCTAAAGCTTGCTATTTAATAGAACATTTATCCCTTTCATTATAGTGGGTCATGTGATTTAGGCTGAGGAAATGCGCACATTCTTTGTTTAATGTGGCAACTTTGTTATGGCTGCTACTTAGTGTTCATGCACTTTTTAAAAAAATGTAATTTTCAACAAAACAACTTATTCTGCTTTTCACATCCAACACCAGTAATCGCACGCAATTTATCTCCTTTCAAATGAAAGGTTAAACCATTGGACGGTCCATATTTAGTTTTAAAATCTATCAAAATTCTAAAGCGACACTTGTAGAAAAACTATAATATTGAAACACTTTTATCAACAATTGTAGCTACAGAATGGTGATGAGCATGTGTATGTGTGCTACCAGCATTATAACCAAAGAGGTAGATAGATATACATAGAATGTCAGTACCGGGTGTATAAAAATCCATCTTTGTAAGAAACTTTAAAGGAATAATATGAACTAGTTTGCTCAACAAGTTTCAGCTAAATGTCTACTTAACTAATGTGTTTTAAAGCCTTTAAGATGCAGTATCAAATAACTTATCAATACCATGGTAGACACAAATAATTGGAGTAAATAAAACATCTTATTTATCTACTCAAGCTTTATCGCAGTCCAACACTCTTATAATACAGCTGTATAGTCATTTTTTAAATACCGGTATTTTTGTATGTGTTTACTTTATAAGATGATTTGAATATCAGACTCATGAGATTTAAAAAAAAAAAGTCCACACAGAATTTAAAATTTTTATGTTGGACACAATGAAGGAGCATCGGAAAAGCCTTAATAGTGAACAAGCCCCATAAATTGAATCAGATGTTAGCAATTATATCTGTGTGGATGTGGGGATGAAACATCCCCAGCTGATTAGCTTTACACTTATATCTTTTCAATTAGTTTTTCCATTGATCTAAAATGTCATTTTCTTCATGCAAAAAAAAACGTTACTATTATTTTCTTTTATATTTTCTAACTTTCTTTCTTTTCTAATTGCCTGTAAACATTTTAGTTTTGTGCTGACAAAAACGGAGTACTGACACTGAAAATGGAGCATACAAAATATTAATGATCTGATTAAGAAATGTACTATATTAAACCATTGTTATTGAGTTATTTTATCTACCGTTTTGTTAAAAACAAATTTAGTATCAATCTGAAAATTTGACATATTTATTTGTCAGCATGGTTTAGAAAAAAGTTAGCCATTAAACGTGAGTTTTAGTGGTAGGCAAACAATTATGGAGATTATTTAATTTAAAACAATGATAGCAGTTATAGTGTTGGAAGAACATCCGCCCCACTCCACAAAAAAAAAAAAAGTATGAGAAGAGAAATAGAAGGTTGCTTTTTGTAACAAAATGCTGAAGTGTTATAGATTGCTGACTTCAGTACTGAGAAAGTTGGCCATGGTCAGCCTCACAAGGTTAAAACACTTTTACCTCAAGTATTCATCTGTGTTTAATTAAGCGACCATTTAAGTTATAAGTAAATTATCTTATCAGACACATTTTAAGAGCTCATTGCCTAGAATCTTCCCTTATCAAGTTTGTACCTTAAGCCCTGCATGTATTGAAGTCATTATTCTCTTACATTACTCTCTTACTGTGTGTCCAACACATTCACTAGTACCCAAGGGTAGCACAAAATCAGTGCGTCAAAACAAAGAAACGTATTGAATATCAATCCATTTTATTAGGCTATTTTTGGATGACAGATCTATAAAGACTAACAGCAAAAGTAGACTTGCTTAATACTACAAAAGCATCAAAAACAGCTCAGGACATTCAGATTAACAATAAATGCATTTACATTTCAAAGGGAAAAGCAGCTTCAATATTAATTCAAAAACTGCTGCAAGACAACATGTAATTCATTAGGTACAAGACACAACATTTCAACAGAAACAAGTGTTATTTGTGTTTGGTTAATGACAAAGTAATTCTATAAATGTTACATTTTGGTCACTCGTTTAATATAAAAGGATAGAAAAAGGTTCAACCACCTGGAAATTCGTTTCTCCTTTTCTTATTGATATCTAAATATTTATAGACTATTGAATAGTTGTCTATTTTAAAAAAGGATCCTTTCCTTCCACATTCACATAGAAAATTATATACAAACCTTTTCCCCCTTAGCATGGAAAACATATAAGTTTTAATGCTTAATTTATGATTTGTGGCAAAATATTGGCTAAAAAAATAAAATAAAAATATGTACACAAATTTATAAACATTTCTTAATATTGGTATTCTTGCATGTCCAATCATGTTCAAATATTTTCCCCTCTGTCCTTTTGGTAATATCACACACTTTTGATTATGCCGTATTTTACATGTGATGAAAAAAGGCAACTTTAAACCATCAAATGGCAAGGATATATCAATTGTATTTGATTAGAGTTTAAATGATTAAAGTTTACTTCATGTTGGGATTGATCTGGTGATCTACTGATATAAATAATATAATAACATTTGTAATTGACATGTTATTTACAGTCCAAAAAGACTACCAGATTGGAAAATGAAGTTCTCAAATCTAAAAGGTTGGGATAACATCATTTCAAGCTCACAAAGTCATATAGAACAGCAACTAACAAAATCATTGTTATTGACTAGTTGTTAAAAAAAAAAAAAGCGCAGAATAATATTAACCAATTATTTATAAATTGTTACAAACTAATGAACTACTCTGGTGAGGCTACCTATTTTTGCCCTTTATTTGAATAAGAACCTAGTAAATATAAAGAGCAAATTGTTTCCATGATAGTGTTTGTGCCCTAAGCTTTCATATTTTATAGATACACTTTTGAACTTCACAAGCTTTAAGGATCAAATGTAGGTGGAGAATTCAGTAGATTGAACTATTTTCACTCTGCTTCAAAATCCTTTCCATCATAACAGATTTATAGGATAACTTTGTTGTTCACGCAACATAACAGACCAAATGTGATAAGGATTTATAAATCGATACTGAAAATCGATACAGGCAACTGAAATTTCAAAATTTCTAAATTAATTATATCAAAATTAATTATAAAACACATTTTCATATAAAAATTTACTATAAATGGAAGCTTTTTGAAATATCTTACAACAGATGATAGATTATAAATCAATGCTTCACTGCAAAATATATTAACATGGTACCATTCACCTAAAATAAATATGCTGTCGTTATGCCAACAATATACCTCACATTGGTGTCAATAAGATATTTAAGATTCTATTAATTTAACCTAATTATGACATTTCTAATTCTACTTAACAACATTCAGGCTTCCTTGATGATTCCATTCTTTTAATAATTTAAGTTTATGCTTGGGGTCTACTATTCAGAATATGCAAGGGATTATAATTTTTAAATTGCACTATTAGAATACTACCCATTTAAAATGGCCACATTTCTTTTATAAAGGGTAGGCTAAAAGTACACTTGCAAACAACCATTGCTGTATCAGAAAACCTCTACTTTTTTTTTTAATAACAATAACAAAATACTAACAATATATGAAGTTTTTAATATATGTGCTAACTTTGAAGATAGCTGGCTCCAGATAAGAAGTTCATTATTTTGAAGGAAAAAAAAACATATGATTATTTCATTCTTTAAAGTGCCTGGAAAATGACCACATACTTTTTGATTATAATAATAACTTTAAATATGAATAACAGCTGTGTCTGACAATATCTGAGATAAACTTGGACAGCATTTGTCTGTCATTAAAAGATGAAAGCTAAAATTGAAGTGGAGTTATACAGCAACAACAACAAAAAAAAAAAAATGTTTTTTTACTTTTAAATTACAAAGATACTTGGAAAAAATTTGGGCTTAATGCACTTTTAAATAAGAAAAACAAGCAAGTAAAAGAAACCATAAACAACATAATCATAAACTGGCCCTTAGCTAGTTTTATAAGGATGGTAAAATACATAAGAATCTGTTAAAAAAATAAAAATACACAGTAAATTCCAGATTCAAACCTGTCTAAAATGTGATATTAACATTTGAAATTCAACAGAAAAATTCATAATCTAATTATAATACTGCATTTTACTCCATCAGTGACTTTGTACAAAAAATCTTATTAACATAGTTTTCATTAACCTGACACACTGCACATTTGCTCTAGAGATGGGAGTAGATAACACGGTTTATTGTGAAATTATGCCTCTGTAAAAAATAAAATAAAAATTAAAAATTTTTAAAAAAAATGAAGGAAAAACGTAACACAACCTTTAACACATTTCAGCTTTAAAAGAGGAGGCTGAGGTTCTCCACGAAGAAATCAAGGATTGATGGGAGGATTGGCATGCTTTTTTTCACGATGCTTCTGCATTTTCCATCTGCATGTCCCTCGCCATTCACACAATTCACAGTAAAACATTTCTCCTGTGTGTTTTCTCATATGACGTCTGACATTCTTTCGATGTGTGATTAGCAGGCCACATATGGGGCAGTTATAACTTCGAACTGGACGTCCTCCTTGGAGTTGAACACCTGCAGGGGCAGTAACATAGTGCTGTGACCAGGGCTGTTTTACATCCGGATTGTTCATAGCAGTGGGATCTGTAACAAATAAGAAAGCTTGTGTTTATGCCCAACTTAAAAGACATTTAATATAGGGATCAATAAGACATGCACTAAGAGACCTGTCTTTTTTTTCCCTATTCTCTTTTTTGGACAAATTTCAAAACTGAAAATGATCTTTTTTTACATGCCTATTTGGGGATTTAAATTGAGCAAATATAACAAGCTTTCTTATTTCTTCTCATTTGCTTTCTGTTTTGCACTTTGTATGAACTCAAACCTGTCTAAAATGTGAATATTTTCCACGTGGTTACTTCTTCCTGAAATTAGGCTTAAAAATCATTCAGGTGATTTTTTCATCTTCCTGAGTCAAGTCACTTTGGTGGGATTCCACAGAGAAAATGAAATGCTTTGATTCTAAATGCTTCTGCAGCTGCCAGCGGCAAGTTTGAGTAGAATCACAGAAGGAACATTGAAAAACGTCACCATTGTGTCTGCGCATGTGTCTCTTAATGTTGTTCTTGTGACGGATGACAATGCCGCATACAGGGCATCTGAAATATCTCACAGGAACACCAGGAACTTGAAATGTTGGAGGATTCATGTCAGTGTCTGTGGGTTCCATTTTATCTGTAAACAAACAATTGGTCAACTGTCACTACTAAAAGTTTCAGTCTCTCAGCCATCATTCAAATATTGTCAAAACACAATTATTTTTCTTTTTTTAAAAGGAAATAGTCCACAGAGTAATAATTCAAAATGAATTGATGTAAGTTATCTCCAAAGAGATTTAAAAAAAAAAAACATCTGTCAAAAATATAACAGTCCAAAGCAAGAGAATAAAATAATTTACATTGACACCAACAAAACATTTAAGCAGGAAATAATTTAAATGTAGAAAATGTTTAAGACACTACACTTAAACAACGCGCTTAGAGCGGGAGGTTGCTGTACTTTTATAAGTAATAAATATGTTTGATACAATGGATGTTCAGGACTAGAACATAAAAAAGCAAGAAGGAAATTTAATGTAATTGAAAGGAAACCTGGCCAGAAATATGGCACAATGAAATCTGGTAAATTAGTCCTTTAGTTTACAGGTGCAGTTATAATGAATATGAAAAATATTCTTTAAAGTACCTTTTTTTTTTCTTTTTAAACATTACAAAGAAAAAGATGAGGCAGATTTTTTTAAAAATATTTAAAAAACTTGCTCCTATCACAAATTATATTTTGATTAATGGGATATTTTGGACAAAAAACAAAAATTGAATGTCAAATATATCCCTAACAAACAATTTTTTTTTAACCAAAACATAAGAGAGGGAGATAAAACAAGTCATTTTTAAAATTATGAAATTTTCTAAAACTGAAACAAAACCGAATATTTCCAAGGATATGCAAAAATGTGAGTTTTTTGTTTTTTTTTAATATTTTTTCTTTTGTTTGACAAATATTAAGCTAATTAACAAAAAAAAAAGGCTAAATTGTCATTTCTAAAATGAAGGAATAGTCTTTAAGCATAAATAACATTCAATTATTTGTACAAAATATTACATAATATTTAAACAGTTGTATATAGAAATAATACTGTTTGAGAAACTGACTGCTTCTTTTATTTTAAACTTTGATGATAAACCATTCTCATCATTAATCTCAACTATCTTTTTTACTAAAAGCAACCCCACAAAAATGTCAAAAAATGGAAATCAATAGAAAGTGGCCGGCACAAAATACATATTTGATAACAAACTTTAAAAGAAACATCAATAATCTGTATTTATTTACTAGCAGTAAAAAAAAAATGATTTAAATTATTATAATAATTATTTCTTAATACATAAATGTTTACATTCAAAGGTATTACTCCTACTCTTTATAAATATAGATGTTGATCAATTTTAATTTTAACTACATGAAATGATAACGCAAAAGAATCACATTGATCTGCTCAGCTTAATTTCTGGAATGCTTAGAAATACCGGACCAATTCACTAGCGACTGGTTTTTAATTTTAGTTTTACTTAAGTGTAGTTATGTGATGGAAAATTACCGCCCCATCTCAAATCTACCATTTATTTCTAAAATCTTAGAAAAAGTCGTTCTCCGACAACTCCTGGATCACCTCACTCAGTTTGACTTGTTTGAACCATTCCAATCAGCATACAGGGTGCATCACTCTACTGAGACAGCTCTGTTGCGCGTCGTAAACGACCTTCTGTCGTCTTGTGATGAGGGCCGGGTATCGATTTTGTCTTTACTCGATTTATCGGCAGCTTTCGATACGCTCGACCACGGCATACTGCTCCAGCGTCTGCAACAAACGTTCGGTCTCACTGATACCGTCCTGTGTTGGTTCCGATCGTATCTGACTAATCGGGTCCAGTCGGTTATTTCAAACGGCTTGACCTCGAAGAAATCTAATCTCGAATTCGGAGTACCCCAGGGCTCGGTCCTAGGCCCGATGCTTTTCACGATGTACATTCAGCCCCTGGGTGCAGAGATCAGGCAGTTTGACATGTTGTATCACATGTTCGCGGACGATACACAACTTCATCAATCCGTGATCACTTCTCAGTTCCCTCAGCTGCTCAGTATTACACAGAAGACAATGGAGTCGGTTAAGCACTGGATGACCATTAACAAGCTCAAATTAAATGATGATAAGACTGAGCTGCTCCCCATTGCGACCGCTCAGAAGCAGAAATCTGCAAATAACACGACATCCATTACTCTCTCAGGTGTGCGTATTGAGTTAGCTCAAACATTGCGGTACCTGGGTGTCTACCTAGATAGAAGACTAACTTTTGAAAGTCATATTAACATGCTATGCAGGGCGATTTTTCTGGAGCTGCGCAGGATTAGTCAAATCAGGCCCTTCCTAACAATTGATACAACAAAGAGGCTGATGTCTGCATTTGTGCTATCACGCATGGACTATTGCAATGCTCTCATGGTGGGTCTTCCAGCTACGCTCCTGGATAAAATTCAAATAGCACAGAATAATGCGGCTCGCATAGTTCTCCGGAAACGCAAATTCGACCATGCAAAAACACTTCTGAGAGAGTTGCATTGGCTGCCGGTGCGTGCTCGCATAGAGTACAAAATCGCAACTTTGTGCTACCGCTGCTTACATGACCTGGCGCCGTCCTATCTGAAAGAGCTGCTGACGCCTTATGTACCCAGTAGAGAGCTCCGCTCATCCGATAGTGGCAAACTCTCGACACCACGTGTTTGCCTTGAGACTTACGGAAAGCGCACTTTCGCATTTGCTGGTCCAACAATTTGGAACGCCCTTCCTGTCGATCTTAGAAACAACCAGACACTGGAGTCCTTTAAAACAGATCTAAAGACACATCTATTTCGCAAATACCTTCTGGAATGATTGTCTACCTTATTTTCCATGTGTTGCTGTGTTGCTCCGGGTTGAAATGGCTAGAAAGACTTTGATATTGTATGCTTGTAATTAGTTTTTGTAGTGTTGTGTTTGTTTTAAATGTGGTGAATTATAGATATGTTTTTTGTTGACTTTGTACCGCGCTTCGAGCCTTTGGGGATGAAGCGTGTTTTTTTAAATGAACTTTATTATTATTATTAGTTTCAATCAGCAAATATACGGATATATGTGCTATTGCATTAAAAAAATATGTCAACATGATTCGTGTTACAAAAAAGTGGTTCTCACAGATATATAACATTACAAATGCAATCAACAGTTCTATGCATTTTGAACTACCTTATTTCAGAAGGCTTCCGGTCATTACATTTATCAAATATTATTTATTGTTTATTTATATCACAAATCTTTTTTACAAAAATTATTTTTGTAAACATTATAAGGGAGAAAAGAAAAGACAAATGATTGTAAGAACTAAGTTGCAGAAGGAGCATAAATTTGTTTGAAAAGTAAAATAATCAATTTTTTTTCAGAACAACAATTTTTTTAAAAATAGGAGCTTTTTTAAAATCCAGCTAAACCATGTTATCTAACTACATTTCACAGTCACTATGTAATTGATTATTTCAAGACATAGAAATAAAGCCTACAGCAGTATATATACAATTTTGAAGAGAAAAAAAAAATGCAACATTATCACAGCAGATATAAAAAAAATATGCAACAGTCCTTTTTTTTTTTAAATTGAACTAATATCCACAGAACTTATTTTTTCAAAATTACATAAACTTTCTATTGGAATAAAAACAAATACATGTAAAGTATAAAATCCACCGCAAAATACCAATCTGGAAGACTTAAATCAGAATATTATATTTGATTTAGACAAGACTTTTGCCTTTTGGTTTAGAAGTACACCTCTAGTAAGAGATGAGAGCAAAATATAACTTTAAAATGACTTACTAACATGATCATGACAAAAATTTCCATATTTAACACACCTCCAGACTAAAGGTAAAAATAAACATGAAGAAAAAGCAGGCTCACTTTAACTGGGCAAAAAATATCAATATACATAGTGTGGGATAAACTGATATAATCAGTCAAAGATTAAAACTAAATTCCTAGGAATGTTTGTATAGGCCTAAATTACAAATAGCAATTTGTATCAAAATCTTAACAATCACACTTTTAAAAATATTATCACAAAATACAGGTAAATTTAGGTATTTCCTTGAAGGAAGAATACCTTTAGATTAGTTCATTCTGTATTCCAATCTGAGTGTTATAGTCCATTTAAAACATTCAAATTTATATTCCGAACAGAAACCCAATGAAGTGTATGGGCTCTAACTATTTTACTTTCATAATTGTATGCCAAAATTAATGTATTTACCGGCATATTGGGTGTACTTTTTTCCTCTCAAAATATTCCTAAAGTATGGGATGCATCTTATGAGCCGGTAATAAAGAATTAATTTTTTTTACCCCTTAAAAATGAGTATAAAAAAAGGGTGTGTCCTATATGCCGGCAAATACAGCATGTTCACAGAATGCAGTAACTGTATGGTAAATTTGAAATTTTTAATTAAAATTTCATTCTTTCCCTGCACATGATTCCACCATAGGTACAGTGACTTTGTTACTGCTCAAAGCTAGAGAAGATTGGTCGGGTGAATCACATCCCACTTCAATTTGATGTGTACTTGACAAGTCATGAGCTATACAAGGTCTCTGTTGGCATTCAATACTTTCAGAAGTTCTGATCAAATTAATTTGCTCAGGGTTGGATATGATATCTTCTGAGTGGCCAATTGTATTTTTGTGTAAATGGCTTTCCATAGGATTTTGCTCACTCTGCTTCATTTGCATGAGGAATATATCCATTTTCTTTGTCCACGATCGCACTGTGGATTCAGGAATATTATATTTTCTTGAAGCTGCTGTAGATCCATATTTTATGCCAAATTCAACAATTTCCAGCTTATCAGCTGGCGTGTACTGTCTGTATGATCCTCTAATTCTACGTGAAGAACATTCTCCTAATAACAATGGCTTAAGACAGAGATGTTCAGCTGACAGAGATGTTGCTAAATCTTTCTTGTGAAAGGAATTATCTTCTTTCCCAGTGAAGTTTACAGATGAACTAGAAATACATTTTTTTTCATCATTCAACACATTTTCAAGCAAAAATTCACTTTTTGACATCATTTTGAGAATTTTTGGTGGTCTTCCACGTTTTCTTTTTAATGGAACAGCACAAGGGTCTGTGGGAAACACATTTTGAGATTTTTCAGGTAAGGGAGGAGGTAACTGACTTTCAATTTCCAAAGGTTTTTTAATAGATGATCTACTGCGAATTTTGCCAAGATTGGCTTTCCTCATCATTAGACTTCTTTTTATCTTATCTTTGCGATCTTGCCATAACACTTTGTGACCAGGTTTTACGGAGGTGCTTCTGACTGTGGTAACATCAAACATTTCAGGAAAAACACTGTCATTAACAGGTTCTGTTAATGCACTGACACCTTCATCTGTCATATTTAATGGAACTGGAAGGCTAAGATCTCCAGCAGTAACATCTGCCACAAATTTGGGCCCAAACAATTTCATACCCAACTGGAGTGTGTCTGAGATGCTTGTCATATCAACTGAGTTGAAAGGCTGGGATACTGTGAAATCCATTGCTGTGGGCAATCTGCAGTCCCCGTGCCTTGGAGTGGGGCTCCCATCACCTGAAGAATGAGAATATCTCATGCCATAGCAGTTTAATTGTAACAGTTCAATGTGAACTACAAAGACAATTTGGCCACCATAATATTTGCCCCAGCAACAACGCTACACAAGGATAAAGATGAAAAACAACCACATTTGTTCCCCTTTAAATGTAGTAATATTTGTTTTAAAAAGAATTTTAAAAATGTGCACCTATAGTTCATTAATTCAAAGTACTGTGAAATTTACAAAATGCAATTTAAAATTCTGACACAAAAATAAAAACAATAAATACTTTTGTTTCTTATTTAAATATAACAAATAACTCAATTTAATAACTTAAGGTTGACAAAGAATTCATTTATACATTTATGCCTAATTAAAATTTCATGACAATAACTAGCATTTCCCATCAAATATGTTTCTAAAATTTTACATGACAAATGGCATGACAATGTTTTAAAAATTGGTTATTTTAAAAAAAAACTATAAAAAAAAAAAAAAAACACAAGACAAAACTAACAGCTTACACAATCACAGTACATTGAAAGTGTTGGACACCTTTTCGTTAAATACTACTTTAACTATTTCTAATGTCAAGTGTTTTCAAATTATCTGCTAACACTTTAAAAAAAAATAAATTTAAGACATTTTATTTTGCAGACTTGTTTAAAAGTAATTAAAATTAAGTTGTTTGTTAAATTTTACAATTATTAATGTAGTTTAATTTTTAGAAAAAGAGATATGTAATTCTTCCAGGCAAATACATTTTGGAAAATGATTTGAGGAAACTATACTGGTTGCAAGATAAAACAATTAACCTATTTCCATTTAGCAGCAGAAGTAAGACGCCAGAGAATGATGTTGCATACATCCAGATCTACTCAAATTTGATCATATAATTCTTATCAGTGGAATCCCAGTCCAAAGTTGCAGTAAGATTAAAATATATTTAAAATATGGTGACTTACTTCTAGGGTTTGGAGGTCCTTGTGAAGAATGCTGTGACATGTCAAGTTGGGATGGATCCTGAAAGCTTTGGCTTAAACTTCCCATATCACCAGCTGTCCCACTAGCAAATTGCTGGGGTGCCTGATGATGATTAGTAGAGTAACCAAGGCCTCCACTATCATGCAGCATATTTGACTGACTAGAGGACGGATCTGTTGACACATAAGTAAGTCACATGAACAAAATATGCAAAAGTTAAAAATGGTAAACACAAAATATGAAAAATTTAAGTCTCCACAATGACCAGTCAAGTGAGGTCTTACTTTGTGCATTCACATCATTGTTAGTGCTATACAATTAGTGGGACAACTCTGACTTTGAAGTAACTCATGATAATATTGGAATAATTGTTTTAATTTAGTAATTCATAATATTAATGAGCATCATGGCAGAATTATATTATTACAACTTAAAGCTATGTTCTGCTAGCAGAGCAGGTTCTCTATGAGGGAAAGAAAACTACCTTGACTGAGTCTGGATGCTGTAACTCCCCTCTGACCAGAATTTCTCTGACTCTCAAATTCTTCTTTCACAAATGTTACGTCTAAGTCTAGATCATCCTCATCATCATGGCCCATACCTGAGCTTTGGTTGCTTTCACCACCAAAAAACTCAGAATGTGGAGGATTGCTAAAATGTTCAGAATGGTTGCGATCCCCTGCTTGCTTAGCTGATGACAATGCACTATTAAAATAAGAAGATGATGTGGCCTGAAGAGTTGTGTATTTGTACGGAGGCTGCATACTACTGTAGCTGCCGTTATGTTCTCTCTTTCTCTTGCTTGTATTCTGGGATGGTGGGTGATGTGTTGAATGGTCAATAAGTCTTGATTTATGGCTATCATGCTGGGTCCCTGATAAAACATTACTAATGCTGGTGATGGCCGACTGCAATCTTGAGGAGGTTCCTGTAGTTGGTGACATGTTTGAAGAATCTTCAAAAACAGAATGTTCATCATCTTTCTCCTTTCTAATAATGCACTCTTCAGCTGGCGCCTGAGCTTGAAAACTCTTACTTACAAATACTGTTGAGTTTTCAGCATTTTTGCACACTTTCTCCTTGACTACATAATCAAAACTTGAACCACTGTCAATATTCAGGTAGAGGTGGCCAATAATTTCTATCCCATCGTTAAATTCAACATAACCATGGCATAATGTCTGCAGTGATTTCACTAGCGCCGAAATAAATTTATTTGCAGAGTCTCCGTTCATTGCTCTAGATGTGTCTATCATTAATGAACCTGTAAGAGTAAAAGTATCAAATTGAGATATAAAAATAAAACCTAAAATAAGAAAACTTCTTAAAATTAAAATTTCCCTTAATATTTATAAGGAAAGCAAGTTTAAGCTACACAGTAAATGAATCAGCACATGAAAAAGAAAAAAAAACAACATGCCTCATTTGTTTTAAAAATGTAAGGGGGTATAAAATTATTGCCATTTTTGGGTTTTGAGTCCAAATTTTTTTGTTAGGGCAGACTTTGATTTCTCTCAAGGCACTCACAAGGCAGTGAGCTTGTCCATACTACAAACTGAGAGAAAACTAATATGGACCATAGAGTGGCCAAAATTTGATAATATAGAGTAAATCTCAGTCAGTAGCCTACATCACACGATTGTACTTTCTGTCATTTAATCATCTAATTAAGTTAGCAAGAGACACACGATTAGATTAAGGTCAGTTGGAAGTTAGGGCTTTATTAAATAAATCAAGTACAGTAGAACCCGGTTATGTCGTCGCCTAGGGACAACCGATGAGCGAGATAAATGAAAACCAATAGGGCGGCAATATATTAACACGTGCTTGAAATTTCTTTACGTACATGATGTGCTTTAATAAATGAGAATGAGTCTAATACACTAAATTAAGCCTAAATTTAAGGCCATGTCTAATATAATAATTTAAGTCAATAATAATTAATAGGCTTATAGGGCCTAAGCCTAATATTTTAGGCCTAGACTAGGTCTAGGTTACTTCATATTATATTTAACTTAAGACTGACTGATTAGACTGTATCCTGTATATGATTAGTCTTTTTAGTCTTAGAGTTAGGACAGCTTGCTTAGTATACCTACTTTCTATTATTGAATGTTATAAAAAATGTAAGTTATATTAAAAAAATAGGTCTATAATATTAAGTAATTCACTAAGTGGCGCATGGCGATAGATTTTTTGGTTGCGGGAAACAGACCATAAACCTGTGACTGGTCAATGCCAGTAGGTATCGAGATCGTATTGAGATCTAGTTTCCTTTGTCTACGTAAGGGAGAGACAATGAACTTATAGTCTGTTTTTTGCACATGAGGCTGGCTTTCATTACAACATAAACTTGGTGATTCTTTCACTCCTGTATTTTGACAAATAAATAACTATTTTAAATTTTGCAAAACTTGTTTATTTGTTGTTTGGTATTTCTTCTTTTGAAGTTCAAAAGCCGGCGATTGGTCAAGGAGATTGAGATAACTGACGTTAAGTGGCAAATTTGGCCAACTTTTGTGCTTGAGATATTAGGGTTTACCAACATAACCGATGAGAAAATGCTAAGACGAAGAGAGAATTTGGTGTTACACTTCAAACATGTCAACTTAATAGGGTTGGCGAATTAACCGAGGTCAAGGTAAGTGGGTTCGACTGTATATTAAATGTGTCCATTTACTGATTTTAAAAACTATTATCAATTGTTGTTTTTCAAACAAAACTATGATGAAATTAATTAATTTTTTGGATCATTTTTATAGTGAAAATTACATAATTTACACAATTTCTTTTTAAAAGTGATATCATTATTGGGATATATGGTGGCGGCACAATATATTATAAGTGTGGTGAGTAGCTGTCAATTCATTTTCTAGTTTCTACTCCAGGATTAAAATAAAATTTAAATCAATTTAGACCTATGACCTGTAGGCTAGGCCAGTGGTTCCTAACCCTTTTGACCAATGGAGCCCCCTTTTAGAATCAATTTCTATGGGGAAGCCCTTTAGACCTACTATTATGTGTTAGAAGTTATTAGTGTTTAGGAGTTTCCTAGTGTGGCCAGCGAGCCCATGAAAGGTGCATGCGAAGCCCTTAGGTCTCCAAAGAGTACTGGTTGGGAAACACTGGGCTTAACTATAATTAGGCCCAAGCCTACCTTATATCCTATATTATATAAACTCCCTAGTAAACTACATTGTAGGCCCAAACAATATCAAAGAACATTTTGCACTATCTCCCTAATCTTGATATTTTATTTCTTAAAAAGCAAACCACACATTGACACTGCTTAAGTCCCAAATCAAAAGTCCGCATTTCTAACAGGAGCTCAGCTTTGTAAAAATATTAATTAATATTTTTTTCTGAAGATTAAATGGTATGAAGAATTTTTCTGTGTTAGAGTGAGTTAATTTAATTAATAATGAGTCATGTAGGCTAATTATTAGTAGGCCTGGCAAATCTGCATTTAGCGGCATGGGTTTTTCCCAAGAGTTGTCTCACCCTAAGTGCAGTGATGACACTTTGGGGAATCCCAACACTGGACTTAGGGTGACTGAACAAACAGTTTGACCTGAACGATGTGTATAACTTTCCTGTTCTTCACTGGGCATAATTCACGTCATAAACATAATTTGACGATCGATGCAGTTAATGTGAAATAAATTAAAATTAAAATTTCCATTCATTTTTATTAAAACTCAACTTACAAGGTATCAAAAGAAATAAAAAGAGAAACTCATCCTTGCTGATACCCTGAGATGAGCACTGGAAAAAAGATGTGCGCATTGTTAAAAGTACTGTCTTTTCATTTGTTAAAAAAAAAACAAGTACCCATATGCTATTCATTTCTATAAATACTATAACTATAATGTCCCAATTTATTTCTGAATACCTCTCCCCCAGTTTCATTACAAAAATAATAATATCTGGGATACAGACAAAATTTTAAACATTTTTAAAAACTTTTATCAAATTCATTTTCATATAAATGCCCAACTAAAATTCAAAATCTTTGAAAAATTGAACTATGGGCACTATGGCCGGTAGTTGACCTGGGGAAGATCCATGACCTATAATAATTAATATAATATAAACATAATAATAATACTTTACTGTGGGAGTGGGAGACATCGCTGGCGCATTTTAGCCCTAGGCCTAGGCCTAAGTTAGTTCTAGAATGTAAGCGTGGGGCCAAACAACGAGTAGATGTAAGCTTATGTTTCTCAAGTCATTGATTCATTTAATAATTGTTGAGTGTGTCTTAGACAGTACAGTGTCTATATCTATAGCTTTTATTATTATTATAACTTATTATAAGTTAAGTTATACTTATAAGCTTATAGGTTACTTTACTGTCTAACATGAAAGTCTAAAGTAACTTTATGAAGAATTATTAAGTGGCCTATTATAAATGCAAAGCCGAAAAAGAGGTAATTCTAGAAATGTAATTCTTACTTATAAATGAGTTTATTACTCATTTCACTGTTACTACTGTAATAATACTAACTTTCAAACTGAATCAAACTTAAGGCAAGGGTCTACCGGAGTACATATCAGTATCCCTCTCACTCTCACTCAGGCCTTTATTTTTACATCGACAACAGTACATGGGTCTACACAAATAGCAGTAATTCTTATTTTTTAAAGAGCAATATACAATCTAAAGTTTTTAAACCTTAATGATCCTCATAACATTGACATCTTTCGATATTCTGATACTCTTTTAAAAGTTCTATATAGCAACAATAAGACAATGGAATCTCAACAACAATGATGGCCGACATTACATTTCCATCCAGAATTATGCGCATGCTCAAGATTGACAGTGACGTGAAATATTTTATTCGATTTTTATTACTGGGGTCTGATCTCCAATCCGGTCCATGGGTCCATCGCTAATTCCTCGCGAAAAAACGCAATAAATCAAGCATACTGGCTTACAAAGGGTAGTTGCGATAGGAAAGATGAAAATGAGAATAGTTGTTCATTTATGTCACCTCCTGTCTTTGACAAATACCAGATCCACTCTTAACTTAGACAAAAAGTGAAAACAAAGTTATGGCAGGGCCGTCCCAATGCGATGTACGCAAAGGATGTGCTGAATGTGCACAAGTCATTGTCGGTGCAAAATGGCTACAATCAGAATTGCATATTGGAACAAAATCAAAAGAGGCCATGCTTATTTTAATTTCTGAAGTTAAAAAATGTAAATTTTAACACGCGGCAATATCATTCCATATTGATATACCTAACCCGCATCTGCGAACTTGATGCGATAAAAATCACCACAATCATATAAGAATGAGTATGTCATTATTGCCATACATCAGAAAAACAAAACGGCACATAAATATTAAAAGACAACTTCTTCAACAATGCAATGAATTCAAACATTTGACAAACATTTCGCTCAGGGCGGACAAATGGACAGAGAGATACATACGAGAGTGCAGAATTAAAAAACAGCCATCTACCAAATAGCCCCGCTCCCGATACACCCAGGAATATGGGGGCGGACCAAGGTCATACTAATGAACACTGTCTTTATTCAAGCCCTTACTTAGCCTACCAGTGCCACTCTTGTGATTTTAAGAAAACTCACGAAGAAAAAATCCCTTGTGAGATGATATTCTAACACCAAGAGCTAAACAAAAAACAAAAAAAAAAAAAACAAGAGGTGACAACACGACAAGGTCATACTAATGAACACTGTCTTTATTCAAACCCTTACTTAGCCTACCAGTGCCACTCTTGTGATTTTAAGAAAACACACGAAGAAAAAATCCCTTGTGAGATGATATTCTAACACCAAGAGCTAAACAAAAAACAAAAAAAAAAAAAAACAAGAGGTGACAACACGAGGATATGAGACAAAAGTTTGGTGTCAGAACCAATCATCCAGTAGGCCTACATGAATTGACCAACCAACAAATCATTTGGTTTGGCACAAGGTCAGAATACTGGTCAATAAAAAAATAAGCAAGCTTATAATAGTAGCACTCAGTTTGCAGGACCAGTAAAGGGCCTTCAGTAGGCCTAACAGTAGGCTTATTGTGACTAGGGCTTCTCTACTGAGATTCCGCAAGTTGTTTAGTAAACAAAAGACTGCCCTGGAAATTTTCCCATCCCGAAAAATCCCGGGTACACACTATAAAATAAAATATTTTCTTGTTTTTTTTTCTTTTTAAATTTTTAGCGAATCACAGATTGTCACAAATTGACATTATAAGACAGGACATGTAAAATCTAATAATTTGGGCTAAAATATTAGGGTTAATAACTCTAGTACACATGTTTTTAAGAGTTTCAAGTCAAGACCATATTTATTTATAAGAAAAGTGACCCTTGCCACGATATATTGAAAACAAGGGCTTTTAAATAGGGTAAAATCTTGGAAATTAAAAAAAAATTAAAACTAGATTTCTTAGTATTGTAATTAAAGCATATCTGAAGCCAGGGTTAAATTTGAAACTTAAGGTTAAACTGAAAGACGAATTTCAAAAAGAAAACTTTTAAACAATCACTATTTCTCTTAATCGGCCGATTTTGTTTTAGATGCCGACCCCACAGAAATCCAATTGAAACCCATTTGTTGGAAATATGTACTCTCATAACTAAGACTTGATTATCCAAATATTTTCATGAGTCAAAAAACCTTTATATTATTTATAGCTGGAAGTCAATCCCCAGGAAATGCCTAGACAAGCTAAAACATCACCAGCACCCCGGGTGGATGGGACTCGTTAACCCTGGATGGCAATCTAAGAGAAGGCAAACTCTGACATCAAACACTGAGATGGAGTTCCTTAGGCGGTATCACATTGACACATTGAAAATTCCTACAACTACTGCGACGTATAAGAGTTGCGCATAAAGTTGATTTATTGTTGGACATATTTTTGCTCAGGGGGGCACTTGGCTTTCCCCGGGGCACACCCCCCCCCCCCGAGATATAGCTGAAAGAAACCCTGAGCACAATTCATGTATTGCATCCTAGTCTATTTCCAGTCGTCTTGACAAAAATTTTTCATTGGATTAAATAAGCAAGGACGAGAGAAGGACGCTAACGAATTGAGCAATTCTTTCTCACTTTAAATAAATTGCTAATAAAGTCTAAAATTGCCTTGATCATCTTCCTGCGTGAAGGACGAACAACAGCGTGTTATGTAGTGTTTTTCTTTTCCAACATCAACATAGTATGTTATTTTACAGTTCTAAATTAAAAAAAAAAATATATATATATATATATTTTATTTGAAACGCAGCCCTTGTGACGGGTTTTTATAAACATTTGCTTGTAAATATTAGGTGACGTTACGAAAGTAGAATTAGCGAGCTGAAAAGAATGCAAAACTAATAAAGCGTTCCGTTTTTTTTTTTTCTTCTACAGGTGGTTATATCCAACCAGGGCTCGTCTACACGGGGGCAGGGGGGGGGGTAGAAGAGATTTGCTTCCCCCCGCCCCCACTGTACCGGGTTATGAATTTTGCCATATAACAAAATTGGTAAAGATAGGCAAAATTGACGAAGATAAGAAGAAAATAAAATCCTCATTTACAAAATGGACTTAGCTGGGTATTGATCGCTAATCCCCAAAAAATATTGATATGACACAATTTATGACCGTATGCTTAGAAAACTGATTTTTCTTTAAGAATTATTATAAACACAAAATTATACGTCTACTAAAATTTATGAACAATTTTTGTATTTGATAATTTAATTTGCTTAAAAATGTAAATGGCAAATTTTAAAAAGTTACACTTTAAAAAAAAAAAAACTATTGCTTTGAATCAATTTGAGCGGATTTCCTTTCACCTTTCCATTTCGTATTGTTTATCGTACTCTTATGCTCTGCCATTTCGAACCACTTCAATCGGAGGTTATTCTACTTTTATTAAGTTTCTATGGTCAACGCATAAACAGTTATGGACCACTATTTTGGCTGGGCCCAGGCCCCCAAAAGGACTGACTGACATCATTCATACCAAGGAAAATAGTAAGGATATATTTTGTTCAAATTTATAGTTGCAGATTTATCTTTAGATCACATACGAGAACATGCCTACAATTTTATCATTAAATTTTTTATATTTTTTTAAAATAATGTATCAGCGGTTCTCAAAGTGGGTGGTATTGCCCCTAGGTGTTTTTCCACCCTCTTTTAAAGAGGCGGTTGTAACTCCATTGCTAAAGAAAGCAAATCTCGACCCAAATGTGTTGGAAAATTATCGCCCGGTGTCTAATCTACTATTTGTATCCAAAATCTTAGAGAAAGTCGCTCTCCACCAACTCCTGGATCACCTCACTCCGTGTGACTTGCTTGAGCCTTTCCAGTCAGCATACTGGGCGCATTACTCTACTGAGACAGCGCGTCGTAAATGACCTTCTGTCGTCTTGTGATGAGGACCAGGTATCCCCTTTGTCGTTACTTGATCTATCGGCAGCGTTAGATATGCTTGACCACGGCATACTTCTCCAACGTCTGCAAAAAGTGTTCGATTTCACCGACACCGTCCTGAGATGGTTCCGCTCGTATCTGACAAATCGGGTCCAATCATTTATTGCAAACGGCTTGACCTCGAAGCTATCTATTATCAAATTTGGAGTACCCCAGGGCTCGGTCCTAGCCCCGGTGCTTTTCACTATGTACGTTCAGCCCCTGGGTGCAGTTTGGCATGCTATATCACATGTTTGCGGGTGATACCCAACTTCAGCCGTGCATGATCCCCTCTCAGTTCCCCCAGCTTATTAATAAGACTCAGAAGACAGTGGAATCAATTAAGTACTGGATGAATATAAACAAGCTGAAATTTACGATGAAAAGACCGAGCTGATCCCCATTGCTACCGCTCAGAAGCTAAAATCTGTAAATAACACAACATCCCTTACTTTCTCAGGTATGCAGACTGAGTTTGCTCAAACAGTGTGAAACCTGGGTGTCTACTTAGGTGTGCAGACTGACTTTGGAAACACTAACTATGGAAAATCACATTAACATGGTTTGCAAGGCGATTTTTCTAGAGCTGCGCAGAATTAGTCATATCAGACCTTTTTTAACGTTTGATGCATCAAAGAGGATGATGTCTGCATTCGTGCTATCACGCATGGACTACTGCAATGCTCTCAAGGTGGGTCTTCTGGCTAGGCTCCTGGATAGAATTCAAAATTCACAGAATAATGCGGCTCGCATTGATCTGCGCAAACGCAAATTTGACCATGCCAAAACACTTCTGAGAGAGTTGCATTGGCGGCCGGTCCGCGCTCGCATAGAGTACAAAATTGCAACTCTGTGCTACCGCTGCACCTGGCGCCGTCCTATCTCAAAGCACTCTTGGCGCCTTATGTACCCACTAGGCAACTCCGCTCATCCGATAGTGGCAAACTATGGATACCACGAGTCCGCCTTGACACCTACGGAAGGCGCACTTTCGCTTTTCCTGGGCCAAGAATCTGGAACGGCCTTCCTGTCGCTCTCAGAAACAGCCAGACACTGCAGTCTTTCAAAACTGAGTTGAAAACACATCTTTTTCGCACTCACCTGCTGGGGTGATGTATATAGGCTACCTCCTTGTTTACCAAGGAGCTTGCTCGTTTACCAAGGAGCTTGCTCATATTCCTCGATGTATATTGGCTTGTATTGTCCATTGGCTAGTAAGTAGATTTTGTATTGTTGCGTTTATATTTTATTGCGCTTTGAGCCTTCATTAGGGATGAAGCGTGTTTTGAAATGAAATTTATTATTTTTATTAATGGTGGTGGTTGGATAGCACAAGGGGCACTGGAAGGCTCAATTAAAATTG